GCAAATGACAGGTGAATCACTCAACCGGAAGATCCAATGGAAGCATACTTAGACAAGACAATATACTGGTTACCATTCTTAGGTACCGTTGCAGTGGTAGGAGAATTCAACCTGTTGTTTCGTAAACAGGATGCGGAAGTTATTTTCAACGGACTCAAAAGGTGAAGAACTGAATTGATAAAGGGACTCTCAGCTAACGGATTTCCCGACCTTCTGAGGCAGAAATAGCGTACACGAAACCGAAACTTCTCATCTTTGCGGGCAAACCCGTCTAGGTGTCAAATTCTCTCGAAGTGGCACTTTGATGTAGACGATAAATAGAAGTCTAAAGGCTGAATTTGTGTGCATAACAAGCTCCTGAGTTACGCTTGATGCTTTCCTCTAAATCAGTGCTCTCATGTCAGATTCAAAACAGACTACAAATAGAGACTATCTCATGTTGCATTTACTAATCCTTTGGCTCAAGCAATATAGATTGAACCGTTAGACGGCCGGTCGATCGTAATCGAGGGAGCCACTCTAAATTACTTTGTTGCAGGTATGTTAGGAAAGGAGCAACTGCGGTGGCTGCACATGAAACCGAAACAAATCACTGGGCCAACCTGATTGAATCATTAAGATCTGGCGAATGCAATAATGGTTTGCGATTGAAAGATGTCAGAGTTCATGTACCGCTCATCACGGATACGATCACGATCCAACTAGACCTGCTGCGCTTGTGCGCTCAAAAACTTGTTCGTCAACCATATTGCTTAACCAAGTGCATAAAACCATCAATGACAGAAATCAGAACATGGATAACTTGGCTTGTTTTCTCATCTGAACTTGTATTTCAACCCGAGTTATACTCTGAAGAGTTGTTCGCTATTCTCTCATCCATTTCACTTTGATTTATATAATTGTACATGAGAGTCTATAATTGTGGTTTAACCGGTGGTTTAACCGGTAAAACACCGAAAACGAGCTTGTTTATTGCTGATTCTTCTAGTTAAATCGCACTTTAACCAGAGGCAACTTCATCTGTATGGTCGCGTTTTTAACTGGTTTTAACATCGCAACTCTGATCACTTGTGTTTTTTATGAACTAACGATATTCCTGCTTGATGACGCAAATGACAAACAGAATTACTTTGAGCAATACATTCTTGATGCATACCCTTGAGGACCATTGAGTTCCATTTCTATGAGACGAATGTCATCATGCTCGACATGAACATTGTAAACAATCATTGAAATGCATTCGTTATTTGACATTTTGTGGTTAAAGTATACATTGGTTGCCACTTTCCCTTGTATTTGGTTCGGAATGGTCGTTGTGCTTCAAACCGTCAGACAATTTTTTAATCTTTCTCTGTCATATACGAACCCGTTTCTTTCCTCTCTCTCACCTAACCAACAGCTCCTTCGGCACCTAAATCCTTAGTGATTAAAAATAATCTCAGTATAATGGGTCAAGTGGTTAGTTGGCAAAAACCGGACGGAACTGATAGTAACTGCGATCTCTACTATCAACTACAATATGAAAGCCCAGTTGGATTATACACAAAACGCTTGGAAGCAAAATACACATCTTATAAGGCACTCCATTTGCCTGAGAATAGCCTGATACAATACCAGGTCCAGGCGGCATATTGGGAATCTCCAAACCTGGGAACGCCAGCAACAGGAGAATTGCGAACAGATCGCGCAGTCCCCAGTGAGTGAACTTATCTAGTGTTCCATCTGCGACCGTCATTGTCTCCTGAAGTTTACACCTCATCGTACACATTTCATATTTTGAATAAAGTAACTTTCTGATCCTCCATATGTACTCTCCACATGGTATTGGTTCCCAGAGCTTCTTTCACTGATTAGTCGTCTTAGGTGCTAAGTGGTTATCAAGCAACGAAAATGTCTGGTTTTCAGTGGGGCATAAAAGCGAAATCATCTGTGAGATCAGTGGCTTTATCGATCGCATTGCCCAATCTGATCGTTCATAGCTGCACAACAGGATCGTATTTGAAATCCACAAGGATACCAAGTCACAGAATCCGAATGGGATAATCAGAATAAACTGCTATTTAATCAATTTAACGCTCAAAAGTTGTGGATGAAAATCGATTGATGAAATTATTAACTGTTTGAGAGGAAACAGATTGGACAATTACAAAGGAACGACAGGTTTGGAGACAACTAAACGAAAACGGGGAAGAAAAATCATTTCATATGGAAAGCGAAATTCACAAAACTAAACGGATCAGGCACAGGGGTATGAGGCGTATTCACTGCAAGAAGGACGGTCACACTTACCGTGATAGTATGAGAAGGCACGAATTAGCTCTGTTTGCACACGTCAGGTTTGTGACGTCGATTGATAGGTAGTTAAACTTTAACTCTTGTATTTCGCTGAGACAGATTTTCCCAATAAATTGTTCCAACAATTATTTTTATTGTATTGGACGGAAACTTATAAAATTAAAACACTTTTCCATTCAAGTTAGCTTGCGAAATCGGTCTGTGTTCTTTTTCATCAATTTGACATCCAGGAAGTGGAAGGATTATCGTTCAGATTCGTGCTCAGTTGTGGGTTCAATAGTATGATATGACTGATTGAGTTTTTCGATCACGTACACGAGGTCATTCAATATGAAAAATGGGTCACCAATAAAGCGACCGTAGAAGTGTGCACAGTCTTCACACTTGCCGTTGTTTCGTACATTCCGATTGTCCCACGGAGATATTTGCCAAAATCAGTTCCAGCGAACAGAAAACGAACGGACATTGTTCACAGCTTCACAGAGAGAAGCATTGGTGAATAAAGAACGAACATCATGAGACCGCGTGTTTATCAGAAACATTAATGTTACTAATTGTTACAACAAAATCAAGTGAGCCTTTTTCAGGGTAGCTGGCAAAATTGTTTGATTGGTTGAACGAGCTTAGCTTGCCTTCGCGCTGGCTGCTGGTTGGATGCTTTATTGTTAGATAGTATGAACCGTAGTGAAATAGTATCGTTGAGAACTTTAAAAACCTGTAATTAATGGATAGTCACTAGACATTCCAAAATTTATTTTCGGTTTTCTAGTAGGTATTTCTTTCTAGGTCCTGCGCGAATTTGAAAAATTTTATTCGGCGTAAGATTTAATCTGCATAAAATTGAGTCAATCTGGCCACCTATTGGTTTGGGAGCGTAAATTTGGACGATGCAAACGAGTCAGAAAGGCTTCACTAAGTGTCAAAAGTTTCGCATTATAGCCATGTGACAGCATAATAAAAAACGAAGGGTGGGGGTCAATTGTATCCCGTTGTCATGGATATTTCGCAACAAATGGTCGTGGGTTTCTTGTGGGAATATGACCACTTTTTATCGGGTAGATTGTGTTCGATCATCCGTCGTGTTAGCAGACAGCTTGTTCTACTTATGTACGCATCGCCGCAGTTTACGCAGAAACATTTAAAACTACAAATACGAACCATTTTGTGTTACGTTAAAAGCTACGAAATGCGTGTCAAAGTGCAAATATTTCTTATTATTTCACAGCTGACCAACAGAACTAACTTTTTATTCAAATCAATTCAATTGATGACAACTGCTGCAAATCGAAGTAGGGTCTGAATAAGTTCGAATTCTTTCTAGTTAAGTGGTCTCATAAAATATCACATAAAATTTTGATTCTACAATCAAAAGAATTCGTTGTTTTTAGTTGTGCGATACAAATTAGGAACATCTGTATTACTGTTTAATGTATTGATCGTCCTTGGTAAACATCAAAAGGTTCGAAGAGATAATGGTGTTGCATTCTGAGTAGCCCCTGAGCAAAAGATGAAGAACTTCAAATTAATGTATGTTTAACTTTTTTACCTGATGCATTATTGGCTTTATTTTCAGTCACTTCGATTGACTTGACTGCTGTCATGGTATCGGATAAAGTAGCCCAGGCTCGATGGCAAACACCAGATGCGTCCCTCACCTTTCGTGTTGGTTATATGAGCAAAGACGATGGGCAAATGTACTCCGTACCAGAATATCAAACATGGTATGACCTGAAAACGAAAGAGCAGTGCTCATACTATACGATTTGGCTGTTTGCCCCGGAAAGTAGTCCACCATCCACTGTTTCAACCGCATTGGTGAAAACAAAACCCTACAGTAAGTAAAAGAGTTACAAGTGCATTTCTGCCTTCGCATTGAAGTATATGAAAATCTAAATCGGTTGAGTTCATTTGTGAAAGGTCACATATCTTGTATCTTCACATTTATCACAAATGTTCATTCCAATTTGTTCCTTATCCGGGGAGAATTATTATTGTATAACACAATTTCGTAGACGCAACTGGTTAACAAGTTTGAATGTGATATATATTTGGTGACGTGGATCCCACTTTGAAACTTCCCATTCCTTCCATTTATTGTCTCTTGATCTGACATCTTTTATCTAGTAAAAATGATAGGATAACAGGAAATGATAAATGCATATTGGTCACCTCAAGGATTTTGATGATCAACGTAAATTGCCTGTGTGGTGCTGTGGACGGGTTGTTAATCGTTGAACGCAGACTGATTAGGCTATGGAGATTGCAAACTGTGAGAAGCAAAATACATTTTCATTGAACATGAGTTTCCGCTCACCTCACCCAAAAGCAGTTTCATATCTTTATCATGAGTAATCTTTACATAGAAATTGAATTTTTAAAATGAACAGAGAAAACAGTGGATTTGCTAAATAATTAGTATTGATTACTGTTTCCATCTATCTGAGACGGCAATGACAAGATTATTTGTTTACACACACTAGTCGTACATTCAGGGAAACATTCTAACCATGGGTTGTATACTTAATATAAGGCATTTTATGGAGGTATAATTAAACCAAGAGTAAATTGATCCATGTCAGTAACTCGAAGTATGAGAAAATGTATGCATTAGACTTGCTAATTAAAACTGGCACGTTTCGAATTCTCTCGTGTTTCCAGTCAGTAAATTGATCTGACACATGGTGTTTAATCATAACCCGAAAGTTCTGCTCAAGTGCATATATAGTCTAAGGATACCAGTTACCGGTTTTGCGTTGACAGTGGGGGACAACAATGCAAAACGCTCACATCTCCCAATAATTATTTTCCATCTGTCAACGAAAATCGGTGCTATTTTTTTGCTTCCCGGCCACCAGATGCCATAATTTGACAGAACAATGATGAGTTCCTCTAAAGAGTTTGATCCAAGTGTTTCCATTTGAACACAAATATATACACTGATGATTCAAAAGCGGAGGAGGTCGAAAAGTCTCCATTTGTATTATTCCCAATTGACTGCGTCAGTCATATCGATCCCGATTCAATACATTTTTTGTTGTAATTAGCTGAAGAGTACAAAGAATGACCAGCGAAATGTGTCGTTCAAACTAGTAGTCTAACGGTTGTTAGGACAGATATCGAGTGAGCGTCGTCTGATACTGATTATCGTGGAAAAAACTGTTTCAACAGAGGACACTAGTGCTTCCATACATCACAGTCTTCATTCTGTTTCGTGTAACTCATATTATTTAGGTACCCATTATTCCTAATGTATTAGATACGTTATTCGGATTACACATTTACCAGAAAAGAGCATTGGTTAATTGTTTCACTCTTGTTGAGACTCGTTAATCCTGTGCATTTTTGTGTTCTCTTCGGAACTGGAAAAGCGAAATTTTGAGCTTTTATCGAAATCTCATAACCTTAATCTACATGCTCGGCATTAATAACTCGAGCGCATGGAGGTTTCCGAGTGGGAAACTACCTACGGGATAGCCCGCTAGTAATCTTTGTCAACCGATTAAAAAAATATCATTGCAATATATTTATGGATGTCCGTATGGAATTTAATAAGTATTTCCGTTTTACGCTTTGCAGGTAAACCGTCTAATGATATTAATGTGAAAGTGGATCCAGATTGCGGTTCTCTTAATGTGTCCTGGACACAGCAGTTCAGTCCGGATGATTTCATTGAAACATTTGACATCCTGGTCATCGACAGAAATGGAACAAAACAGGTATTCAAAGCAAATACAGGGACGCAAAACGTCCGTGTCGAAAATCTGGAATGCGACATGCCATATCTGGTCACTGTTGTGGTGGTGAATGCATGTGGGCGCTCTGCACATTCAATACCGATGTATGTAATCGCTCGCAAGGAAGGTCAGTACAAAACAGAGTGAAAGTCTCCCAGATATTAGTGAACATTACCAGGAAGCCTGTTGGTATTCATTAGCAGCGGCAGCAGCACTGTACCACAAAATGTATTGAAGCCAACTTCGCTTATCTACTTCAAGCTAATGGTGTATATGAAAGGGAAAACAATTTTACAGTGAAGTTAAGTTGCATGAGAGACAAAAAAGCTAACATGAAACAATATGAATGAAGTCTAGAGTATGCTACCTAAATGGATACATAAACACCCCCAGGCGATTTGGCCTTATACGAAATAACATGATAGTCACTGAAGTATTTCTGTTGCTGTAACCTTGAAGTCCCCGAATCGAGACCCATGTTTGGCACATGAGAGATACATAGTTCATGCACTTTTTAACGCTGAAAACACTGTTTTCCTAACACAAAGTTGATTAAGGAAGTCAGAAATATGGGTCGGTATAGTTCATCCATGATCATTTTCCGGCATATCTTCATTTACATACGGCAATCACGGTGCTTGTAACCAAATCAAGACGAAAACAAAATTGCTAATTACAATGGACCACACAAAACAACAAAAATTTAAAAAAATGAAAGAAGGTAATGGTCAACCGCCAGGGTAAAGCTAATGTGATTGAATCATTCCAACTGATTTATTAGAAAAACAAAGATGTGGCTAACAAGCTTGGTTTCAGTGCTTTGTCCACAGGCCAATTACAACGCATTATATAACACGAGAGACAGTCAAATCAGGGTTTTAGTATGTGTAAAATGGACGTTCAAGGGTTCGGAGGGAGGGAGATGTGTCAACACTGACCGCACAGTTGATGATAATACCTTGCGGAATGTGAATATTCAACTGTTATGTTAGGCGGGGGCACTTCGGACACACGGCCAAGGGAGCGAAGGGGATTTAACGAACTGTTTGTTTGGTGTTGACTCAAATTCTGATATCATGATTGTACAAAGGTGGATTTCATCTTTTAAAGCACTACTTGGGAATAAAATTGTCTTGGGAAAATAAAATAAAATCACAAATTGCTAGAAAAGATTTCCTCATGAGACGGAAGATCGGATTAACTACAATCACATACAGTCAATCTCCTGCTATGTCGCACCCTTCGGGAATTCGAAAAAGTGGGTAAATTCTAGGAACTGCGACAAAGCAGGGTAAACAGTAATAGATGTTAATAAATTAATAAAAATCGGTTGACAGTTTTGTGACAAAATAAACCGGATCGATGAAAAGCAGGTTAATCCCGTTAGTTGTTCCCAATGCTTATAGTTACAAACTGTTTATTTATAACGGAATTTAGATCTACCGTCCTGCGTATCCTTTATGTATCGAAGAAATTTAAATATTTTATAGCACCGTTAGCTTAATATCGGTACATTACATGCGGTATTCAGACTATTTTCAGTTCTATGTGTCTAGTTATCCCGGAACTACCTACTTTCTTCAGGGAATCTTATTCTGACCCAATTATCCCATAATAACTCCAGATATTCCTCCATTCCATTGCAACGTTAGGCTAACCACATAGTTGATCATATGACGTCCACCATAATATACAGCTCTTTTAGTTATAATAATCGCATCATTATTAACCTATTCAAGAAAAATAAAGGTGAACCAGTTCGAATACAGCAAGAAGGAAATAACATCTAAAATGAATGAAATATCTGTTGCGGAGTATACTGAGAACATTGACTTCCTTTCCATATTCAAACTAATTGTTCACTGTGTATTTTATTCATGACTTTCTAGCGAAAGATGTGTCTGTCGGCATCTATTCGTTCGTTCGCTTTTGTTGTAACCAGTGTATGTTCAAACCGACTGATGCATTCGTCATGACCGTTGTTGGTCGGACGTGATGCTATAACGTGATTCATAAGCCATACCTTTTTCGCTTTAATGTCATGTTGCTATGTGGATAATAAGATAGCCCGAATACTCCATCGTTTCGTATTGTCTTGGGCTTTTTGTAATAATCTTGTTGTCATGTATAGTCTATCCGTGTGGTGAAGGTAGGCCTGCTGTACAGCCGAATTTCACTGGGCCTGTTAAAGACTCGCAGTTGTAGACAAGGTATGGTTTCTCGCTCGGGTTAGGTGGGCAAGCACCAGGTCTCTTGTTGCGGTGACCTATCCGACCG